GCGTCACTACAGAGTACCAATGAGGAAAAGGCAATCAGTAACAATGACTGTTACCAAGCAACAAGCAGCCGTAGCAAGAATTAAATAAAAGGAACGTAAATGGACCCGTCAACTCAATCACCAGAAAAAGGCAGCATATGGGAGAAAAAGAATAGGAGAAAGTTTTCCCAGTTTCTGTTCAATTTCATTGAGAAAAACGACATGCCACGATGCAACATGCGGTCGCTGCAGGAAATTAGGAAAATATGTATCAGAAAGAAACTAATCACAGGCATGACTTTACCACTGACGGCTTTTAAGGGTTGGGCGCAGTTTCCTATCTCGCTTTTTCCACTTCACGTTATACGGTGTTTCCCCACGTTATTAAAAATCCCTAGTGGACATCACGTTACGTAACTGCATAGCACAGGCATTGATCAATTACTCTTTGCAAAACACTATAAATTGGTGCTTTGGAAGGACGGCACAGGGGAAAGGAGGTGAGTTGAGAACCTAAGCACCAGCCCTTCCTCACTGTTCTCCTTGTAAGGCCAACTGGCCCGAGGCAGGGGGACAGGTTGAAACTGCCCTGGAGACTTTCCACCCGGCCCAGCCTTCCTGCCTTTCGAGGGGCGGGACTAACGCTCCCCCACGATACCCGAAAAGACCACCAAATAAGGAATACCCTGCGCCCTCCCGGATTCGCCACACGCCTTTCCCTTCTTCCCCTATAAATTCTGCCCAAACCCTCGCCCGGGCGCGGCTTCTCTGGCCCCTTTCTCTCGGACCAGTGAACCTCGCCCGGGAGCGTTCCCAAATATAGCTTGTTTGAGCTCTCCTCCGTCTTTGGTGCCGTTCCTTACACTCCTGTGCTGAGTTCTGACGTTAGGTCAAAGGTGTGGCATCTTGCTAACCTCCAGTTTGGGAAAAATAAAAACCTGCGCTGGGGATGGGGTGGGAGGGAGGTCTCTGAATTTTTTGGTGGCACCCCGTGCATTGCTTTGTGCTGCAAACCATAAAGCCAGTACACAAAACTTTCCAATTATTAGTGGCATATATATATTTTTTAAGGTCAGCCATCAAGGGCCTCAGCACTTCCTGGAATCACAGCCTTCAGCTGTACCTTAAATTTCCTACATTCACTGGTGTGATGGCTCCTTCGGAAGCTCTGTAGAGCTATTATTATAATCATCTCTCCTGTTAGAGGGTCATTTTATTTAATTAAAAAGGAAAAAAAAAACCCCTCACAATAGCGAAGCTCCAGAAGTACTTTTTAACCGCCATGCTGGCAATTTCCCCCGCTGCGTGATTACAGCACGAGCCAGGCAAGATCATCCACGTTCTAGTCACTTAACTCCGTTAACCTCTGAGGAATGAGCAGGCATCACCCATCGCAAATCAAGTCGCAGAATCTGCCCCTCAGGTTTTTCTTTCTGAGAAGAGCGCTGCTAACCCTCTTGGGTTGGAGCAGTGCATTGGTAGTGTCATGTGAGACTGTGCTCCCCTGGTATCCTGGGCGGCAGCACGTGAGAAGCACCCTCCCCCGCGTCCCAAGTGTGTTCTCATAAATTATTCAAGAGGCCAAGTTCAGGCGAAGGAGCATGGACTCCGGAGCAAGACAGACCTGGGTTTAAATCCTAGGTTTACGCTAAGTGGCCCGTTCTCGTGACTAGACCAGGGCAGCTGCTTGGCCCCTGGGAGCCCTGGTGTTCTCACCTGTAAAACAGGAAAATAATACAAGCTCCACGGAACCCAGAACTCAGCAAGGGCTCAGGACTGGACGAAAATGGCTAGTGGGAGGCTTCTGTGCTCAGAGCCCAAGGTCGTGTTCAAGGTGAGACTGGCACGCATAGGGAGGCCGTATCCCGGACAGGCCAAAATCTGTACCGTGAATCACACCCCTGCCTTGCGAGGCCAAGGATGATGCTTTTTCAATAAACTGCTGTCTCTTTATTCATCTGATTTTCCAAGCTCATGCTCTGCGTTGCTTTTGGACGGACTTCTGCCCTCAAATCTAAATGGATGACATGCCGATGCTCTTTGAGCCAGCTTTTTTTCATTCCTTTTTTTCCTTCAAATTAAATTTTAACAAAGAGAACTTGCCTGCACTCAGAGGCATAAATGTCTAGGACTGTTGCTCCTGCTGCCTGATAGGGGCCCAGCACCTGAATAAAAAGGCCATTTCTCTCTGTAACAGGACAATTCAGACACAGACACGGGACCAGAGGTAACATGCCCCCTGGTCCCTGGGGGGATGAGGGCTTGCTGGGGAAATGCCTGCCTGGTGTTCTGGCCTGGGCCTTCTGTTTAAAAAGAGAAGCCAGGGCTTCCCCGGTGGAGCAGTGGTTGCGAGTCCGCCTGCCCATGCAGGGGACGCGGGTTCGTGCCCCGGTCCGGGAAGATCCCACAGGCCGCGGAGCGGCTGGGCCCGTGAGCCATGGCCGCTGAGCCTGCGCGTCCGGAGCCTGTGCTCCGCAACGGGAGAGGCCACAACAGTGAGAGGCCTGCGTACCGAAAAAAAAAAAAAAAAAGAAATGAGAAGCCAAACTTCCTATTTATAGATGGACGAGTAATGCAGTATCAGTTATTGGTTAAGGCAGGACAACAACATGGGAAAAAAATAGACAAAGGGGTTGAGGTTCAAGGTTACGTCGGAGAAAGAAAGCAGATGGGATTTTTGTTTCATCTCTCCCATCCTCCTAGTATGTGTCTACTTTTACAAAATACCATTTAATTGGGTCTTGTTGGTTTCTAAAATAAAACAAGGCAGGGGCTGCGTGCAGGTGAGACCCCTCGCTGGCCATCCCTGCACAGCCTTTTGGGGGCACAGGTGCACCCGGTTGAGGTCCAGACCCCTCTCCAGGCGGCTCCTGTTCGTGTGTGTGTGGGTCCGGGAGGCCGCGGCAGGCGTCTTGTTAGTGATACGCTGGTGAGAGGGGCTGGGGACTCTCTCTGCTCAGCTCTTTCTCTCTCTCTACAAAGCTCTGTCTGCTTAGAAAAGAGGTTTTGTTCAACTCCTTTTTTGGCCTCGGAGGCACCAAAGGGAGTGATTAATAGGGAACCACCTCGAGGTTTCGATAGGCCACAGCTAGAGCTCCAGGGCCTCGGGGCCTTTGTTCCCCGGGCTGCGGCCTTGCGCTTCCGGTGGGTCCAGGGGGTGGTGGCTGGGCCTCGCCAAGCGCTAGGGCCCGCTGGGGCCTGGAGACCAGGGTTTCTCTTGTGAAATCCAGCAGACAGGAGGCAGGGCTGGAGACGGACGTGCCGATTCCCGGGGGCAGGGTGCAAGGAGGGCTCCTCGGTGGAGGCGGCATGGCGGTCTGGCCTCCAGGCCTGGGGACAGGGACGCGGCACTGGGCCAGGCTCGGCTAAGCTGTGGGCAGGCTGAACGGGGCTCCTGTGACCACACAAAAGCAAGGCAGGCTTGGGACGCAAGCGGAAGGTGACCAGGCACAGGGCGGGGAGTGAGGGGGCGGGTTAAACAGAAAGGAAAGCAGCCTGGCTTGCCCAGGCCTGGAAACCATTGTCCCTGCGGCGAGGGGGCACATGGCTGGATGCTTCCTGGGGTTGCATTTGTCCCCGCGGTGGAGCAAGGGGATTAGAAGGTTCTCCTGTGGAGGTTTGCCTTCCTCAGGCCCCAGGCCCCTTCCCTTCATTCGACAACTGCCAGGCCCCCATTAGGATGGGAGCATCCTTGCAAACTCAAGCCGGGTGCCTGGCAGCATCTGTGGAGACTGTGCCCTGCCCTGACCACGTTCGCAGGCGCAACGCAGAGGGGAAACGATGACACGGCTGACGGCGACCTCCCTGTAGCACGTAAGTGTTTCACGGCATGTTTTCAGAGGAGATAGAGCATGGTTGATGCGGGGAGTGTCTTAGTCAGCTCGGCTGCTGTAACAAAGACACCACGGACTGGGGGGGCTTAAGCAACAGACATTTATTTCTGACAGTTTGGAGGCTGGGAAGCTCAAGACCAAGGTGTCAGCTGATCAGATGTCTGGTGAGAGCTTGCCTTCTCTCCGTGTCCTCACGTTGCATGGTGAGAACGAGAAAAATTGCTCTTGTGTCTTTTCTTATAAGGGCACTAACCCCATCCACGAGGACTCCACCCTCATGACCTGGTTACCTCCCAAAGGCCCCATCACACCGGGGATTAGTGTTTCAACAAATGAATGGTGGGGGTGGGGGTGTGTGAATAAACATTCAGTCCACAGCAGGGAGTAAGGCTACCTGGGTGTGAGCCCTGGCACTGCTCCTTATAAGTCACGTGGCCTCGTGCAAGAGGCATGGCCTCTATTTCAGCGTCCTCAGCTGTAAAGTGGGGGTTTGTTGTGGCTGAACTGCATTTTCTCCAAATTCATATGTTGATGGCCTGAGCCCCAGTGCCTCAGAGCGTGACCTTATCTGCAGACTGGCCTTTACAGAGGTGAGTAAGGCAAAGTGAGGGCACAACATGGACCCTAATCCCATGGGACTGGTGCCCTTATAAGAAGAGGAGGTCAGGACACAGACACGCACAGAGGGATGACCATGTAGAGACACAGGGAGAAGACGGCCATCTCCCAGCCAAGGAGAGAGGCCTCAGAGGAAACCAATATTGATCTCAAACTTGCAGCCTCCAGAATTGTGAGAAAATAAGTGTCTGTTGTCTAAGCCGCCCCATCTGTGGCATTTATTATAGCCGCCTGAACTAAGATGAGGTGATAACAGTACCTGCCTCCCCCCAAGGCCGTTCTGAGCATGAAGTGATGGAACACCTGGGGAGCAGCTGCAGGCGGCATGTCGCACGCCACAAAGGGCTTCAGCCCTGAGAACATGCCACCCCTGTGCCATGCCCGCCCATGTCTAGGCGGAGCTGCAGACACAGCATCCGATGGCCACTGTCCCTCGTCCCCATCCCCGTGTACGGACCTGGTTAATGGCTTTACATGGCGAATGAATCAGGATGCGGGTTCAGCCCATCAGGCACCACAAAACCCAACTCAGGATGGTCTAAACAATGCCAAAGCGTGTCAGTCACATACCTGGGATCTGGGTACGGATGGCATTTCGGTGTGGCTTGACCCAGGGCTCCAGCTTCCTCGGTTGATGACGACGCCGGAAGCCTGATGGTTGCAGCGTCCCAGGCTCTGCACTGCTCATCCTGTCACCGCCCCTGGAGGGGAAAGGCCATTTCTTCTCACGGTTGCCTCGTAGAAGATGGGAGCCTTTCTCTGGAAACTCCTACCAAATGCGTGTTTCAATTGGACGCCTGATCTTTCCTGAATGGCAGACGGTGACTCAGAATCATTTGCTGGTGGGTCACCCTGTGTGGTGTAGACTCAACCGGACCCACCCCAGAGCTGGGGTCAGCACCTCTTGCCCCTTGATGGCTCTGTAACGGGTGAGGGCTACAGGAACGCTGGCCACTTAACGATGTGATCCGCTGAAAGGGGCCATCTCACCACATCCTGACGCTGTCCCACAAGGCAGGGACCACTGTCATCTCCAATTTAAAGGTAAGGAAACAGAAGCTCGTGGACACAGGTAGGCAGGAGGTAAAAACTCAGGCACTGGAATCCAGCTCTCAACCTCAGACCCGCTTTGCAGTGTAGACAGGCCACAGAGTCAGGACAGTGAGATCACAGGGGCAAACAAACCCACTAAAACCCACTGCCAACCTTCCTCAGAGTCAGACTATCCGAGAGCATTCTGGTGCAGTTATTTCCTGCTATTTTTATTGTACTTACATTTCCTCCCCAACCTTTAAAAATTGAGACATGTAACTCACATACAAAAAGACGCATACGTGCAGTGCTGCAAAACAAAGGACCGCAAGTTTAGCAGCTAAAACGTACACACATTTCCAACCTTGGTGTCTGTGGGGCAGCAGTCCCGGTATACTGCTCAGCTGGTCTTCTGCTCAGGGTCCCACGTGGCCACAATTGAGGTGCTGGCCCAGCTTCTTCTGGGCTGCTAGCTGCCCTCAGGTCCCAGAAGCTCCATGGTCCCCTGCCAAGCGTCCTTCTCTGGGGCCGTTCACAACATGGCTGTTTGCTCCTGAGAGGCCAGCGGGAGAGTCTGTCTCCAGTTGTCATGGGGTCCTGGGAGTGATGGGCGTGACATCCAACTCCCTTTACATACGATGCGACCCAAAGGGAAGGGATGACATCACAGTCCTTTCACCAAATTCTACTGATTAGAAGCACATTGCAGGCCCCGCCTACACTCACGGGGAGGTGATGATGCAGGGCATTGACTCATTGGGGGGGGGGGCAGGGGTGTTTCACCTTCCCGTGTGTCTAAGTTTAACCCAGAAACAGAACATCGCCTACCCTCCCAGAAGCCTGGCTTATCCACCCCCAGGTCCACTTAGAGGTTAGACCAGTGTGGAGTTACAGCCAGTCAGAGCTGATGGTTAAATATTCAGGAATTCCATGAGCTAGCTGTTAAACACAGATGTTATAAAAAACTGAATTATATAAACTTAGAGTGAAATCAATTCTATCAAAAACAAGGTCTCAAAACTCACCACTTCATGATTACTTTACTAAAACCCGTGCTTTTGAGGTTACTCACATCTCTTGTACCTGTATGGTGAAAATACTTTCCCTAACTCTGCATTGAAGGTATTTCAAGTTGGTTCAGATACTCCCAAGTTGGCCATTAGAGAAATAGTTACACTGTGGAACTCTGAAAATGCTACAATTCAGGGATTGAAGGCCAAGTGAGGCCCTTGCTCAAGCTAAGAATAGCTTTTACATTTTTAAAGGTTGGTAAAATATAAAACAAAGAATATGTGCTAGCGACCATTGGTGTCCGGCAAATATGTATCTGGCCCTTTGTAGAAAACATTTCCCAACCCTTAGCCTAGTAGTGGAGAAAATTAACAGTGCAGCTAAACTTAAAATTGTGTCCAGTTTTTAGCCATTACATTATGACTGGAACAAAACATTCGTCCAGTACTGGAAAAACGATCCAATACAGCAAAGAAGTTGCTCACATCACTGATGAACAAAGATCTATGTCTTTTTGGTTCATTTCTGTCTCACTCATTGATGTGATTAAATCAACCAAAGTCTGTATCACATATTACACTTAATGACAATAAATTTATTGGAAAAACAGTGGGTTGGGAGACAACTCAATTTGATAGATTATGATTGAATTTTAACCATAGGTTGGCCATGGATACAAGAGTTCAGCAAAAATAAGCAAGAGCAACATCTGAGAATCAAATGGCTCCAGGGAATTTACAAGAAAGAGTACTGTTTTACCATTTTTGGTAGGCTGTGTACTGCACATGCTTTATACTAGTTAAAATTCATAATAAATGTATGTGTCTACATATGCACTCCTCCCCCTGCCAGCTGTTAAACATGTACCATCAGCCTGAACTGTGGGCGAGATACTTCCTGATTTCCTTTATAATTTAACCACTTTTAGGTTTCCTCTTACCTAGGTGTGGCCCATCTTCCTTAGGACCTGTGGCAAGGTCTGGTACATACTAGGTATTTTAAAAATACGGAAGTGGGTAAACTTCTGAGAAACACTAATTTTACACAGCAACCAGCAGTGGCAATGCAACTGTGAGCCTTTAAGATAAAATGGCAGAAAAAAAGGGGGAAAGTTTCTTTGCTTTTCAATCTCTATAAGGCCCTGCTCAAATCTTTTTTTGGTGTTTTTTGCGGTACGCGGGCCTCTCACTGTTGTGGCCTCTCCCGTTGCGGAGCACAGGCTCCGACCTTGCAGGCTCAGCGGCCATGGCTCACGGGCCCAGCCGCTCCGTGGCATGTGGGATCTTCCCGGACCGGGGCACGAACCCGTGTCCCCTGCATCAGCAGGCGGACTCTCAACCACTGTGCCACCAGGGAAGCCCACAAAGGTTTGTTTTTTTTAAGGCCCTTTTCAAATCTTTTTAAAATTAACGGAAAAAAATCAAAAGAAAAAAAAAAAAAAAAAAAAGGCAACAGCCATAACAGTAACTACCACAGACTCCTTGCTTACTATGGGCCCAACGGTGTTTCTCACGTAGAATCCCATAATTCACCCTCCGTTCATTTATTTTACTAAGCATTTTACAGCGCGCCTATAGGAAACCAGCGGTGTCGGCCCTCTGGGAACTTAAACTCAGGCTGGGGAGGAGCAGCCGGCCTGCAGCCCCACCCCCACCCCACCCCCGGCCCGCGCGGATGCCCCCAACGCGCGTCACAGCCCGGCTGCCGTGCACGTCCGGCCGCGGGCCCCACTTGCGCGGGGCACGATCTCAAGCCTCCGCCAGCCCCGCACGTGTGCCCCCGGAGGCTCGCCCCGCCCCGCCCCCTTGGGGACCGGGGCGCCGCGGACCCGCAGCCGTCACGAGGACGCAACGGACCTACGCCCGGCTCCCGCAAAGACCGGAAGGCGCGTCGTGACCCGTTGTGCGCAGGCGCGACGTGCAGCGCACAGCACCTGGCCGCCGCTAGGGGGCGCTGGCGCCGCCAGCGCCTTGGGGGAGGGGAGGCCGCCGCGCCGGGACCGGACCACGTGCGCACCACGTGGCGCCCCCTGCAGCCCCGGACTGCGGTAGGGTCGCCGGACCTGCCACGCCACGCAGCCAGCAGCCCGCAAAGGCGAAGGGCTGGGTCTCCCCGCCGGCGCCCCCGTTGACCTCTGACCTCTAACCTCACTACCGTTAGGGTCACCCCTTGCCGGTGGCCGCGCGGTGTGTTTATAAACAGAACGCCCGGCGGGGCCAAAACCCCGGATCGCGGATTCACGCCCGGGGGAGCGGAGCTTTCCGTGACGGTTGCCTTCTGCGCATGCGTCCTGCGGGGCGCCGGCCGGTTCCTCCTGCTTTTGCGCACTGGCGGGCGGGGCGGGCCGCCGCGCCGGGCGGGGTCGCGCTGCCGGGAAGGGGCTGGCGGCGGCCGGGAAGAGCTGGATGAGGCGGCTGCAGGCCTGCCCCCGGCCCTGCCCGGTCCTTCCCCACCCTTCCTAGCTGTGTGACCTGGGCAGGCCGCCTGCCTGCTCTGAGCCGGGTCCTCGCCTGAACGGCGCGTCACAGATGGGTGGTCGCGCAAGTGAAATACTGACCTTCCCTGGCTGTGTCCTTGGCCCGTGTTGACCCCTCGGGGCAGTGTCGCCTGGCCCTGAAGCGAGCCTTAAACATTTCCGTCCACCCGTGTTGACGAGTGGGTGAACAAAATGTGGTATCTACCCGCAGTGGAATACTATTCAGCCTTAAAAAGCAACGGAGTAAAATTTGTGTTATGCCTATATATATATATATAATTTTTTTTTTTTTTGCGGTACGCGGGCCTCTCACTGTTGTGGCCTCTCCCGTTGCGGAGCACAGGCTCCGGACGCGCAGGCCCAGCGGCCATGGCTCACGGGCCCAGCCGCTCCGCGGCATGTGGGATCTTCCCGGACCGGCATACGAACCCGTGTCCCCTGCATTGGCAGGCGGACCCAACCACTACGCCACCAGGGAAACCCTGTGTTATGCATATTTTAACCACAGTATGACATGTGCTGTATAACATGGGTGGATCTGGAAGAATACTCCAGACACAGAATGACACGTGCTGTATGATTCCACTTACAGACATCTCTGGAATAGGCAGATTCACAAGTAGCCAGGGGCTGGGGAGGGGACCAGGGAGTATTGATAGGGACAGAGTCTCAGTTTGGGAGGATGAAAAAGTTCTGGAGAGGGATACTGGTGATGGTGGTACAACAATGGGAATGTACTTAATGCCCCTGAATCTACACTTAAAACCGGTTAAAGCGGTAAATTGCATGTTACGTGTATTTTAAGCCCCGCCCCCCAATCAGTTCACGTTGTGCCTGAAAGTATCCTTCCCATGTTTTAAAAGGCCTGGACCTCTCTCACCCTGCCTGTGTCATTTTGAACCCCTCTAGTCTCAACCTGGTGCTTTTCTTACCTGGCACACCACCCTCCTCACTTCTTGCGGTTCTCTCTGACAGAAATATTTGTCCCTTTCATGGATGTGTCCTTCTTTGTATATTCATTCGTTTAATCAACATGTATCCATGCTTACCTTGTGCTAGACTTTATACAAGGAGCAGGGGACACAAAGGTGATCAAAGCAGGGAAGGGCTTTCCTCTCACAGACTTTGTATCTGGCAGAGGGCATAGTCAATAAACACAAACAGAAAAATATCAGATGGTTGGTTAAGTGCTTAAGAACCCCCTGGCGATGTGATAGCAGCCGGGGATCAGAGATCTAATCTAGATCAGGTGGTCCTGAGGGGCTCTCTGAGCGCTGCGGCCATGGAAGATGCGGGGAGGGAGGGGAATTTCCAGGGAGAGAGAGGAAGCTAGTGGAAAAAACCCTGAGGCCAGAACCATTTCAGTGTGTTTTAGGAACTGAAAAAAGGGCAGGTGGTAGGAGCCCGTGAGCAAGGGAGAGGTTTAAGAAGTGAGGGCAGGGGCTTCCCTGGTGGCGCGGTGGTTGAGAGTCCGCCTGCCGATGCAGGGGACATGGGTTCGCGCCCCGGTCCGGCAGGATCCCACATGCCGCGGAGCGGCTGGGCCCGTGAGCCATGGCTGCTGAGCCTGCGTGAAGAAGTGAGGGCAGAGAGATAGGTGCTCCCATTACTAAAACCATGGAACAAATTACCCTCAAACTTGTAGTGTAAAACAACCAACTTATCTGACTCACGATTTGATGGCTCAGCAGTTCGTTTAGGGCTCAGCCAGGCAGTTCTCGCTTGCGGGGGGGGGGGTGGTCTATGCGGAGACCATGAGACAGTGGTGGGGCTGTGGGCAGCTGAAGGCTGGACGGGGCTGGATGTCCAGGTTGGCAGGCGACACTGGCCGTCAGCTGGGAGCTCAGATGGGGCTGCCCGTCTGTGGCTGCCTCCACGTGGTGATCTGAGATGAAGTGCTCTTTTCTTGCAAGCAAGGTTCCCAGGGGAACCAGGTGGAAAGGACACCGACTTTTTTTTTTTTTTTTCGTTGTGGAGCACAGGCTCCGGACTCGCAGGCCCAGAGGCCATGGCTCACGGGTCTAGCCGCTCCGCGGCATGTGGGATCTTCCCGGACCAGGGCACGAACCTGCGTCCCCTGCATCGGCAGGCGGACTCTCAACCACTGCGCCACCAGGGAAGCCCTTAGGGCACCGACTTTTAAGACTTATCCTTGAAAGTCACATGGTCTCATTTTTGTCATACTTGGTTGGTCGGAGCAATC